ACATATCAGCCCATCGGTCAATTACATTCTCTTGATTGAAAATGGAGAACTTGGGAGTACTTCGATGCACTCAAGCAAAACGATTTGTTAATGTGGGAGCAAGGTATGAAAGAAGTACATGCCTTGCACAAGAACAATGCATGGGTTCTAACTATGCTTCCATCAAGTAAGAAGGCACTTCAAAAATAAATGAGCATTTAGAACCAAGGATGAACCTGATGGATCAAAACGGTACAAAGCCTGTTTAATGGTCAAAGGTTCTCAGCAGATTACGGGAGTTAATCACAATGAGATTTTTCTCCAGTGTTAAGAATGACCACCATCAGAGGGCTTACATCTAGAGCAATAAGATATTAAGACATCGTTTCTACATGACGTTCTTGATAAGAATATCTACATGGCACAACCTGAGGGGACTCAAGTTGGTGGTAAAGAAAATTTTGCCTGCAAACTAAAAAGGAGCTTATATGATGTAAAGATTGATAACTTCATGATAAGGATATGGTACAAAATGTGTGATATTGATCATTGGTGCTACGTATCATACCTGTCAAAAGGAGGAGGGTGCTGTAGTAGGTGCAATGAGATCATTTATTTTGGTATCATGCTTATCCCAAACCAGTATAAAGGAGGAGGGTGCTGTGTTAGCGTGTGACGGCCAACAATATAACCTAGTCACATCACATGATATGAATCGAAATATGAATATCGTTAAAGCCATGTCATCGCCCGTAAGCGGCGCATCATCCCTCCGCTTGGGGTGGTGTCAAATATGCAAGGGCACGCTACACTTCATAGGCCTGGGTGTAGTAATAAGAATGCTAGGGATGCTAGGTCGTCACCTGGAAGCGGCGCGTCATCCCATTGCCCGAGAATAATGTCAAATATGCAAGGGCACGGTGGGGTCCGAGGCGTGGCTAAGAACAGAAGGCGGAGTGATAAATTGCGCTTTGGGACGTGGAATGTTGGGTCCCTTATAGGCAGATCTTCTGAGGTAGTTGAAGTTATGAGGAGAAGGAATATCAGCATTATGTGTGTGCAAGAAACTAAATGGGTTGGAGAGAAAGCACGTGAGATTAATCTCAGAGGTTTTAAGTTGTAGTTTTTGGGGAGAGATAAGACCAGAAATGGGGTAGGCATTATTGTGGTGCGTGACTATGTTGAGGATGTGGTAAAAGTCTTCAGGAAGAACGATCGCATCATGAGCGTTTAATTGGTGACAAGGGTGGGATTGTGTATGTGGTAAGTGGGTATGCACCACAAGTGGGATATGATGCATCTACAATTCAACAGTTTTGGGAAGATCTTGAAGACGTGGTGCGACGAGTGCCAAGAGGATAGAAGTTGGTCATATGAGGCGACCTCAACGGGCATATGGGCTCGAGTCGTGATGGCTTTGAGAGTATTCATGGTGGATATGATTTTGGCACTAGAAATGAAGCGGGAAAGAACATCTTGGATTTTGCCTCGACGTATGAGTTGGTTATAATGAACACTTGGTTTAGGAAAAGAGAGTCTCACATTGTAACCTATAGAAGTGGAGTAATAGTACTCAAATTGACTACTTCTTAGTACGAACTACTAGGAGAACTTGCTACACTGATGGTAAGGTTATCCAGGTGAGAGTGTTGTCACTTAGCTTAGGATGCTTGTGCTTGACTTTCGAGGTAAGAACCATAGAAGACAAGTTAAACAACAAGTGGAGTCAAAGATAAAGTGGTGGAGGCTTGAGGGGATCTTCAACAAAGCTTTACACACAAAATATTCGGTGAAGATGTATGACGTATTGATAATTAAACACATGTGGAGGATGTGTGGTTATTAATGGAGCTGACCTTTAACAAAGTGGCAAAGGAGGCACTTGGAGAATCTAAAGGATGTCTGCTACCCAAAAAGTACACGTCTTGATGGATTGATGAGGTAAAACAAGCCATAAGGAGCAAAAGAGATTGCTACAAAAAGGTGGGAACAAGTTGGAGTGATGAGAACATAAAAGCATACAAGCAGGCTAAAAGACAAACAAAGAAAGCCGTAAAGGCAACACGAGGGAAAATGAACAAAGAGTTGTATGAAAAATTGGACTCGAAAGAAGGAGAACAAGATATTTATAGATTTGCTCATCTTCGTGATCACATGACTCAAGATATCAGAAAAGTTAAGTGTGTGAAGGTTGTCGATCAAAGGATATTAATGGAGGACGGAGAGATAAAAGAGAGGTGGAGGTCATACTTTGATACATTGTTCAACGGGAACAAAGTGCAAGATATTGGTGATTTGACCATACCAGATTGTATGGTAAATCGTGATTTTTGTGAGAATGATCCAAACTACGGAAGTTAAAGAGGCTCTGACGAAGATGGGGCAGAAGAAAGTAGTGGGTCCAGATGGCATACCGATCGAGGCTTGGAGAAGTTTGGGAGAGAGAGTCGTCGAGTGGTTAACAAATTTCTTCAACAAGATTTGGAGAAACAACAAGATGCCAACGAGTTGGAGAAAGAGTACTCTTATTCCCTTATTTAAGAATTAAGGTGATGTACAAGAATGTGCCAACCATCAAGGGATTAAATTTATGAGTCACACCATGAAACTTTGGGAGCGAATGATTGAGCAAAGACTTCGAAGAACAGTGAAGATTTTAGAGAATCAATTCGGTTTTATGCCTGGTCATTCACCTTCTTCGGTAACTTATGGAGAAGTATAGCGACACTCACAAGGATTTGCATTTGGTGTTCATTGACTTAAAACATGGAGAATGTTTCTTTGACATTATTCCAGGAGAAGTACACCGGGGAAGCGTTAGAGAAATTCGATATGATTGACGAAAAGACAAGATTGAGAAACACACCTTGGGGAAGTCACCTCAAGCTTACCAAAGACAAGTCTCACAGAACATATGAAGAGAAAGCAGATATGGCTAAAGTTCCTTTTGCTTCTGCAGTGGGTAGTCACTAGACACATGTATGCTATGGTGTGCATGAGACCAAATATTGCTCTTGTAGTTGGGATTGTTACTGGCTTCATGTCAAAACTATTGAGAGAACATTGCAAAACAGTCAAATGGATACTTGGGTATTTGAAGGGTACTTCAAAGATGAGGTTGCGTTTCAGTCTTTCAAAGGTAAAAACATAATACTCAAGAGGGTATTCTGATGCTGATTTGGGTGGATGCAAAGAGTCATTTAAAAGCACTACAAGGCACATTTTTACGGTGGGAGGAACTGTAGTTATTTGGGTGTCTTAACTTGGGAAAAGCGTGCCTCTTTCAAGAAGAGAAGGTGAGTACATGGTAGTTGCTGGAGCGAGTAAAAAAATAGTTTGGTTGAGGAACTTCATTGAAGAGTTTCACAAAAAACAAGTGGATTACTTACACTGATAATGAGAGCGTAGTGAAGGTAAGCAAGAGTCTAGTCTATCATGGGAAAATGAAGCACATTGGCATGAGATATCATTTTGTTAAAGGTTGATCAATGGAGGAACTATGAACTTGAAGAACATATGAGGTGCAAAGAATCCAACATATATGTTCACAAAATTTGTGACGCTAGACAAGCTGAAGTTATGGGTAACTTCAGCTGGCCTTTCAAGAATAATGTTGAGAAGGCAGCTGGTGGCAACTAGGAGGAGTTAAAGAACATATGATGTTTACAGATGTAGAGAGGAGTGGAGTGCAGTTTATCGCGTTTTGAAGCCTACAGTGAAGATTGTTGGGGTGTAGGCTTCGGCCCATTTAGATTTGAGACCCAATTTAACAAGGTGAAGCCGGCCCTAGCTAGATGTGCGGCTTTCTTTATTTAGGTCCAATGTTTAAGTTTGCTGTGATATGATCTGATCTGGTATGAGATTGAAATCAGCCATTTAGTTACAAACATCATTGTCTTAAAAAATTGATCCCAGTCAACAACGATTTTACAATAAAGTTTATACGCTTCTTCTTTTCTCATCTTTCCGATGAGGTTCTAATAACTCAAACATCTGTTAGTTTTTTTTTATAACTAAAATACAACCGAAGTAATAGAGCATGTTGAGATTATTATATTTAAATTGCTCCAAAATATCTAAGATTCCAGGATCCAACCATTTCTATATTTTTATTACTCATTTTTATGTTTAATCGATAACATGTATACAATTGTTAGGGATTTTGAATTATAAAGGAAGTTCCCCACAAAGTGCAAGGTTTACACAGTTACTCCTCAAACTGCAAAATGCCTCTAAGCTGAAAAGTGCCTTTTCAAACCATATCAATAATCAATGTGAAGTGCTCAGGGTGTTCTTGGCAGGGGGGTAGGAAGTGGGGTTGGGGATGAAATTATAGTGCGTCACTCGCAGTATTCTGTACTATGGGCTTTAATATTAACTTTTGGGCATTGTGCCACACCCCTCCCATTCATGGGAACCAATTCCTATTTTCTGTAAAAATCATTCCCATTTCCATACCCTAAAACATACCAAGCAAAGTCTAAGATGAATAGATTGTCTACAGAATACAATTCCAATTGTGATGATACATTTTCTTAGAACTAGGATACTAATAATAATAATCTTAATATGTGGTACTCCTTCAGCTTTTTATTAGTATTCCTACTTGTCTTTTAGAAGTTGTTCGAGTTTTAAAAGGACCCACTTTTAAAAAATTATTGTACCCCTCCCCCTTCCTTTTCCATTTTACTTTTCCCCAAAGTTACTATTCCATAAAATATTTGAAACGTATACTTTCCACAATTAATGTAAAACATTTGTGAAATGAGGTGGCTGGAACACAGGGAGTATAATTGATAACATGCTATTTTGGGTAGTAGAGAGATACTGTAATTGTAAAAATATATCTTGACTCTTGAGAGGAAGCTCTGTTACTACCTCAACTTAGGAGGTTTTAAATACTGGCCAAAATTTCACAGAGAAGGTCACATTTGCTGGTTTATCTTGTATGTCTTATATTCAATTGCCATTCCGTCACCATTAATTCTACAAGAGCTGTACTGATTTAGTTTGTGGTGCAGATAAACGTCTTAACACATACTCATGGAACAGACCTGACGCCCGAACAGCTTTCAAAAATTAATGATCGGAAAAACGAACATGCTAAACAGGATGAGCAAGAGCTACGGGCAGTTCATGAGCTGGAAAAGTTGACTGATGAAAACTCTCAAAATGGTGAATATGGTGAATCAATCACTTATGGGAACTGTGCTGTGGGTGAGAATGAAAGTGAGAACTCTAATGGGCCTATACCTTCGGAAAACTTCTCTGTGGAAAGAAAAAGTGTGAGCAGTGGTGGGAGAGCCAGAACTGATGATGAGACTGAGAACTCTAGCGGTGGTGCTCTCTGGGATATCTTTAGAAGGGAAGATGTCCCAAAGTTGGAAGAATATCTGAGGAAACACTTCATGGAATTCAGGCATATTTATTGTTGTCGAGTTTCACAGGTTAGCATTTCATTGTTCTAATACCTACTCTTCTTAAATCAATGTGCATAACTTTTAAGATGTAAGGCTTAGTTTAAAAAGGCATGACTGAGGCATAAAAGCACGAGGCGCTTCTGGGCGATGACTTACATCCCAGGAGCAGCAGATTCCATAGGGCGCGCCTTTTTACCTCGCCTAACACCACCTTTTGCGCCTGTTTGAGGCATCGCCTTTCACGCCTTATGGAATATGTCCGCTGAACTTCCTTCAAGCCTTCTGGCGATTCATCTGCTTCGTTTTCCATAATTTTCATAGGGTATTATATATATGTAAGGTAAGGTTTTTTCACTCCATCAATTCCCTTCTGCCATTTGTTTCACGCCTTATGGAATATGTCGCGTAACAGGTGTGTTTTATTATTTTGTTTTCTTTGTTTCTTCTTCTTCTTCCATTCTCTTTGTTTCTTTGTCTTCGGCAACGTAAGTTTCTTTCTTCCGTTCTCTTTGTTCTCTTTCTTCTGCTAGCTTCTGTATTCTTTATATTTTATTTTTCAAATAAATAAACAACAATCTGCCCTAAACCCTAATCCCAATCGGAATGTTTATCAATTTTAAAAAAACATGGTTCGTTGAATCTGTCAATATGATCATTTAACTTTATACTCTTGATACTTTATATGTTTATTATATACTACCTCTGTCCCACTAATATTGGAACATAAGGGGGTGCCACGTTTATTAAGAAAACTGGGTTTATGCGGTAGATATTAATTGATAAAGTAAGAATGATTTAGAACCACACAAACTTTACCAAATTTGGTATGGGACAACTCTAGTGGGATCTTCTGAAAAGGTAAAATGGGACATATTAGCGGGACAGAGGGAGTAACAATTAGTCAATTATATATGACATCTTGTTGTTATTAATAATCTGTGTATAAAAGTTTATTGAAATAATGACCTAAATATTACTTCAAGAGTTTCATTAGAGTATTAGACAAAAATGTGACTAATCTAAAACTGGACAAAAAAGTGCCTTTATCGTATCCTTGTTCGGCCGTCTCCCAATCCTCTCCCTCTTCCAAGCCGATGATCTCCCCAGCTCCAACGACACAGATGCGGTGAAGATGACAGATCAGGTTGTGGAGTCTGAATCTGCTGCCACCTCCAATTAAGCCTCCAAGCCTCATCACTCCGAATCTCCCAGCTCCAATTAATCTCACCTGCGATAGTGACTCAAAGCAATGGACTGCCGGAGTCGAAATAACAACCATTGATTATGTGAATGGGCAGATGGAAGTCCAGGTGCCCATATCCAGAGTCTGTAACGACTAACGATGTATCCGGTAAATTAGAGGAAATCTTTGAAAATAATTATACGTACTGTTATTAATGAGGAGAATATGTTCACCATTTCCCCTGAAGAAAACAAGCTCTTCGCCGTCGGCTGTGACACGTTTGTATATTTCGGAGACTTGACTGAGAATGGTAAATTCTCAACCACGTGCCAACTTAAGTGAGACGGAGCTCCGGAAAAGGATTCCTGGAACTGTTCGGGGCGGGGCTGTTGCCAGGTTACTATTCCGATGTTCGGGTTGATGAAGTTTGCACTTGGGGTAGATAACGGGGGATCGGAGGGATTGGGGAGGTGGCTGGGGGCTGGGGAGTCAAGCCGGGTGAGGCGGCGGTCAACGGAGGCAGTCCACGGTGATGATCAGCGATGATGGTCGGGCTGGGGAAGAGGGTGAGGGGGCTGCGAGGAGCAGGGGAGGGATGGGGTTGGGTACACCAGAGACAGCGTGTCACTATGGCCGGAGACGGTGTTTCACTGGCCGGAAGACGGAGATGTCACTGCGGAAATGTCACTGCGGCCGGAAGTTGGGGCGGATATGTCAGTACGGAAATGTCACTGTGGAATTGAGGTGTCACTGTGGCCGGCGGTGTTGGCGGCGGCAGTGACTAGGGCAGTAAACAGGGACATCCGACAGTGACATGAAAATTGGACAATGACATAAATATTTGGCAGTCACTTTATGTTATTCTAAATATATAACTATCTTAGTCACATTTTTGTCCAAATGTAAATGTGGTCACATGTTTGGAAATCTGCTTTTGTTTAGTAATTTTAAGGGAAAAAGCCCAAGTTTATTTAAAGATTTACTATTAATTGTTTAAAATTAGTAGTAAGTATTAACAGTTTATTGTGAAACAAATTGTAAAAAATATACTAGAACTATGTACTACGGGGTATTTTGTTGTTTATTGCTATACTATATAACACTCTTATAGTTATATGTGATAGCTATTATAAATTTATAATACGTAGTATTACTATTGAAAATTGATTAGATAATGTTTGTTTAAAAAATTACTATTTAATAGTATAAATATATCTTACATCTTACATCTTAGTTAGATCAATGAGGCGTGCGCCTTGTCGCCTCATGCCTCGGGTAATCAATGAATCGCTTCATGCCACCACCTCGTGCCTTTTAAAACTAAGATGTGAGGTGACTATTATTTACATTTTTGTTTTTGTAATCACGTCTTTTATATGCTTAGGTTGTTCACCCAATACATGATCAGTGCTTTTACTTGACCGTTGAGCACAAGAAGAGGTTGAAAGTAGAATATGGTTAGTTTCCTTGTGTAATCTGTGTTAGGTAACACCTCTTATATTTTTATATATATTGAAATATATCAGCTGTTGCATGCAATTATCTTGTCAGGGGTTGAACCATGGACATTTATCCAAAAGCTAGGGGATGCTGTATTTATACCTGCAGGTTGCCCTCATCAAGTTAGAAATCTAAAGGTATATTATATTTTGCTTATTTTAATAAATTTTTCAGGATAGCTCCCAGATCTATAGATGGTAATTTCTTCCATACTTTTCAGACATTGCCAAGCAGCTTTTCAATCAAAAGTTTGTTCTCTGTTAGCCCTTCTTGTGTATGGGGGTTTCTATCCTTGTAAGGCTATCTCTATGTGTAAATGTTTTTAGTGGTGGCAACCAAGGTAGTCAAAAGTGAGCACATGAGGCTTAGCAACTGAACAATGGCCAGACGCAGCTCCATGTCTGAAGTGCAGTTTAGGCGCAGAAGCGCCGAGGCTGACAAAAGTGCACACTTAAGTCGCCTGGGCTGGGAAAGGCTTATCTGCCTATTTTTTTGTTCGATCCTACTTTAAATAATAAGCCCACAGTAAGATTTAGCCCGTCCAAATAATAGGTAAAAACAACTTAAACCCATAGTAAACACTTCTTAATCGTGGGAAAAGTCTTAACTCCATCATTACTCTTCTATGTTCCAGTCTTTACTTTTATCAGTTCCAGTCATCTATGCATACATTATACTACCTCTGTTCCGTTGAAAGGTCCCGTGGTAAAACGACACAAATATTTAGTCAATAATTAAATAAGATAGTACGAGTATATTTTGAGAAATAATTGTAATAGGTATATCATATATTAGGGTTACTGTTGATAACTGTGATGTTATAAATGTATTATTTTTATAATTCAATGATTACTTTGTCATTTAAGGTTGTTAATTGATTCCTAAAATGGAAATAGGAACCTTTATATGGAACGGCCAAAAAAAGGAAAGTGAGAACCTTTCTATGGGATGGAGGGAGTAGTTCTTTTTGCTTCTAATGTGTTCTATACAATTGTCAACGGTATGGGTAAGTGATCTTGTCCACTGGTCGATAACAACTCAAACATATTATATGTACTCTATATCATTTCATCTTATTATACATTCTATAACTCTATATCTTCCTATTATCATTTCATATTTTAACTGTATAAAAACTTCATATAATCTAACTCAGATAATAGCTTCATACACTATAAAATTTATGCTATTCCTAGTGCTAAAATTGCAAAATCAACAAAGACAGACCCCACTTGGTGTTTTGTTTTTGTGAACCATGACCTCATTTTGGTGAATCATGAGTTTATTTTTTAGAAACATGACTTTTTTGTTGCATTTAGTTCAATATGATGTTGAATATGTCATATTTGATCACTATTCTCGAGTATACATAATATTTTCTAAATAGTGCACTTGACCCGAGTCAGGTGAGCACTTTTTAGCGCCTTGCACCTCAGGCGATACAAGTACTCTAGTGCCTTAAGTGCGCATCACGACTTTGACAACCTTGGTGGCAACATTAAATGATTTAATAAAAAGGAGTATAACATTCTACGCCTCTACGGTCTTCGCAAAGTTGTAAAACAACTTTGTTTGTCCATTGTGTTTAGGTTGCAGAGTTCCACTTTAATGGTGTGATATCTTATAGATATTTTCTCTATCAAATAAGTGACTTTTAATTTTGTTTTTATGCATTGGCTTAAGTATAACATTTTATTATTCTGTGTGCAGTCATGCATAAAAGTAGCACTTGACTTTGTTTCACCTGAAAATGTTCCGGAGTGTATGAGGTTGACTGAGGAATTCCGCACACTTCCCAAAAATCACAGGGCAAAAGAAGATAAACTCGAGGTTTGACTTCATGAGGTTTCCTTTAATACTACATATATCTCAACATTAACAGTTTCACTCATCCATAGTTTTGCTGATTTCTGTCTTTTGCTTGTTTTCTTACATGAATATGTGAAATACAAACCCTCAATTGGTCGATCCTGTTTAGAATGTTTACTCGTTGAAAAACTTAGCAATTAAGCTTTTCTGAATTGGCATCAATGTACCATCTATATTATTTGAATTAGTATTTAGTAATAACACTTTCATGGATTTCTACGCTTCTATTGGAGTATTGGATTTTGTTTGGGGCTTCAAACTATTGTATTTGATTTTGATTGCATTGTGTGAAATATGTTAGAATATACATATTTAATAGTCAACATATTCTATGTATATATAAGGTAGCTAATATATTCTTTGCGATAGGCTAAATATTCTAGGTAAATCTGACAGATTTAGTTTCCTTTTTTGTATTCTCTAGCTTGTATGTATTTATACTGGCCATATCTATTGATAATTAAATGTGATTTCATTGCATCTTTAATCCTTATTACTCGGTTTACATGGTATGAGAGACACACAGGTTCTTCGGGTAGTACTTCCCGAAGTTCGATCTGCTCCCTCCCTCTGGTTCGGTTCAGCCTTCTTTTGTGCGACACAGGACGTTGTTCGCAGGCGCAGGCGTGGTAATCCGGATAGTGCAGCACAGTTGTCGCAGGTCTGATTTTCTGGACACTATCTGCACCAGTTCTCTTACCCTGTTCTTGTTATCACTCTTGCCCTAGTTGTTTGCAAGCATGGGTGATGATAAGAAGAGCGTGACTGAGATTACGGTCGGTAATGCTAGAATTACCGAGAGAAAACTGACTGGTAGTAAAGATTACGGGCAGTGGAAACGGACTATTACAAGATATGTTAATAGTCTTGATCTGGGAGATCATCTAACTGAAATGGCTCCTCCAAGAAGTAATCCTGATGAAAGAAAGAGATGGATGATGGCTGATGATAGGTTGTTCAATCAAATTCAGAATACCCTGAATCCCTCTATTGATAGTATCATTACTCATTGTGATACTGTCAAAGAAATGTGGGAATACTTGGAGTCTATGTATGCCAGTAAACAAGATCTCTCTTATGTTCATCAATTACTTATGCACTACTATAGACCGGAGATGAAGGACTAGACGCTGTTTCAATACTACAATGAATGTAAACAAATCTTTGAGGAAAAGCGGCCTCGATTCCCTATTACTGCTGATGTTAAGAGTATGCAAGAACAAGAGGAGCGAACATTTGTTCATGGTGTTTTGGCTGGGCTTGGTCCACAATATGAGGTATCGAGGAGTCGAATACTCTCTAGTGGGACCCTTCCCAATTTTTCTGACCTCTATGGATGTCTCCTTCCAGTGTGCAAAGATGGAGAATCCAGAATGATGAACTCGATTGATACTGCTGCCTTAGTCAATGATGTGAGCCATGGTAAAAGGACCAATTCAGTCACTACTGAAGGGACTCGTAATTCTTCTCGCACATGTTATCACTGTGGAGCTGAGGGTCATGTGAAGAAGAATTGCTGGAAATTACATGGTCGTCCACCACAGACATCTGGACAGTTTCCTCCCAGGCGTGTTGCTAATACGGTTATCCAGGATGGTATCCTACCAACTCCTTCCATCGTTACTATTTCAGTCGATGAGTATGCTCGGCTACAACTTTCTCTCACAGCCTCATCTGCCACCACACAAGTTGATACAGGTAATCCTGCTGCATGCCTCTCTACATCATCACACAATTGGGTGATCGATTCTGGCGCAACGGACCATATGACTGGTAATGAAAATATTTTGGATTCATTTACCTCTTCTGCTAACCAGTCTCATGTCACTTTAGCAAATGGATCAACCGCATCTGTCAATGGCCTTGGAACAACAACTCTTTCTCCAAACCTTTCTCTATCTTCTGTTTTATATTTATCTCAATTTCCGTTTAATTTAATCTCAGTCAGTCAGATTACTAAAGCCCTAAACTGCTGTGTTATTTTCTTTCCCACTCATTGTCTTTTTCAGGATCTTGGGACGAAGCAGATTATTGGTAAATGAAGACTGGTTAATGGCTTATATGTTTTTAAATCCTCGGTGCCTAGATCAGTTGCATGCACAAGTTCGTCTCTGTTGAAAGTTCACTGTCAATTTGGTCATCCATCTCTTTTTGTACTACAAAAAATGTGTCCTAGTCTGTCACGGGAGTCTGTTTTGGAGTGTGAAGCATGTCAGTTTGCTAAGCATCATAGAACAACTTTCCCTCCTCGAATAAATAAAAGTGTTGAGTCTAGTTTTGATTTAGTTCACACTGATGTGTGGGGTCCTTGTCCTGTCGTTTCCAAACTTGGTCATCGTTATTTTGTTACATTTGTGGATGATTTTTCACGGGTTACTTGGCTTTATCCTTTGAAATCTCGTTCAGATGTGTTTACTGCATTTTGTACCTTTCATGCTGAAATTCAAACTCAATTTAATAAGAATATACGCATTTTGAGAAGTGATAATGCTAAAGACTATTTATCTAGCACTTTTCAGACTTACTTATCTCGCCATGGGATTTTACACCACACTTCTTGTCTCTATACACCTCAACAAAATGGTGTAGCTGAACGAAAGAATCGTCACCTACTAGAAGTAGCTCGAGCCTTAATATTTCACATGGGGGTTTCTAAACCATTTTGGGTAGACGCTGTTTCCACTGCGTGTTACCTTATCAATCGTATGCCTTCTTCTGTTCTTAATGGTCAGATTCCGTACTCCGTTTTATTTCCCTCCCAGTCCTTGTTCTCTCTTGTGTCTCGTGTGTTTGCTTGCGCATGCTTTGTCCAGGATATGCGTTCCCAGGTCTAAAAACTTGATCCTAAATCAATCAAGTGTGTTTTTCTGGGTTATTCTCGATTACAAAAAGGATATCGATGTTATTCTCCTTCATTGGGACGTTATATTATCTGTGCAGATGTCACATTTTTTGAAGAAACACCCTTCTTTCAGCATAGTTCATCTTCATCTCCTTCCTTGGAACTCTCTAATGATGAGTTTCTAGTCTATACCACCAGCCAACTAGAAACTGTCCCCCCCCCCCTAGTGAGGTTTCCCCATCAACTTTCCTTCCTCCTCCACCTCCTCCCCTTAAAGTTTACTCTCGTCATGTGCGCCCTGTGACTACGGCACCTACTATGGCTACCAGTGTACCACCGTCATCTTCTGCCTCGCCTCCTGATTCTGCTCCCTCCGACCTTGATCTCCCAATCGCCCTCAGAAAAGGTACTCGTACTTGTACTTATCCTGTTTCTTCCTTTGTTACTTATAATACTTTGTCACCTTCTTCCAAGAGCTTTATTGCTTCTTTAGATTCTATTGTTGTTCCTTCAACTGTTTCCTTCAACTGTTTCTGAGGCATTGGCTCATCCTGGTTGACAAGAGGCAATGCGAGAGGAGATGATGGCTCTCGATCAGAACCACACATGGGACCTTGTATATCTTCCACCCGATAAGAAAACTATTGGGTGTAAATGGGTGTTCATTGTCAAAATGAATCCTGATGGTTCTGTTGCTCGTTTAAAGGCACAGTTAGTAGCTAAGGGTTATGCTCAGGCATATGGTATAGATTACTTTGACACTTTCTCTCCTGTTGCCAAGCTTACATCCATTCGATTGTCCATCTCTTTGGTTGCTACTTACAATTGGACACTCCATCAACTTGATATTAAAAATGCCTTTTTGAATGGTGATCTTAGCGAGGAAGTATACATGGAGCAACCACCGGGATTTCTTGCTCAGGGGGAGTTTGGAAAGGTATGTAAATTAAGGAAATCGTTGTATGATCTGAAACAATCCCCACGAGCTTGGTTCGGCCGTTTCAGTGCTGCAATATTTAAATTTGGCCTACGCAAGAGTGCCTATGATCACTCAATTTTCTTCTCTACCTCAAATTCTGGATGCATTCTATTAGTTGTGTATGTTGATGACATCATGATCACTGGCAGTGATGCGAGTCGTATTTTGAAACTGAAAGCTTTCCTTGCTACTTGTTTTCAGACCAAAGATCTTGGGCCCTTGAAGTATTTCTTAGGGATAGAAGTCTCACGTAGTAACAAGGGAACTTACTTGTCTCAAAGAAAATACTGCCTAGATGTGCTAAATGATGCAGGTTTGGTTGAGGCAAAACCGTGTGATGCTCCGATGATCCCAAATGTAAAGTTAACCGCTGATGAAGGTGACTTGCTGGAAAAAAATCCTGAGGTATACCGAAGAATGGTTGGGAAACTAAATTATTTGACTATCACCCGACCTGATATTGCTTTCCCGGTCAGTGTGGTCAGTCAGTTGCTGTCCACTCCACGAACATCACACTGGGATGCAGTTACTCATATCCTAAAATACTTGAAGGGGGCTCCAGGGCGTGATATACTATATCAAAACCATGGACATCATGTTAATGAAGGGTTTACTGATGCGGACTATGCTGGAAACCCTAATGACCGACATTCCACTACTGGTTACTGTGTCTTTGTTGGTGGAAACCTTGTATCTTGGAAAAGTAAGAAGCAAAATGTTGTCTCTAGATCAAGTGCAGAATCTGAATATAGAGCTATGGCACAGACTACATGTGAGCTGGTTTGGCTTCACATTTGCTTGGTGAACTTGGATTTGCTCAAACAGAACCCATGAGATTATGGTGTGATAATCAAGCGGCTATCCAAATAGCAAATAATCCTGTTTTTCATGAAAGAACAAAGCATATTGAAGTTGATTGTCACTTTACTCGAGAAAAGGTAGAAGATGGTACGATTTGCACTTCACACATCAAAACAGGAAACCAACTGGCAGATGTGTTCACAAAGGCTCTACCGGGGACACGTATCAATTCCATTTGTACCAAGCTGGGCATGATTAATCTATGCTCCAGCTTGAGGGGGAGTGTTAGAATATACATATTTAATAGTCAATATATTCTATGTATATATAAGGTAGCTAATATATTCTCTGCGATAGGCTAAATATTCTAGGTAAATCTGACAGATTTAGTTTCCTTTTTTGTATTCTCTAGCTTGTATGTATTTATACTGGCCATACCTATTGATAATTAAGTGTGATTTCATTGCATCTTTAATCCTTATTACTCAGTTTACAAAATATAATAGGATAGTTTGTAGATTATTCTAAATATTCACCCGATTGTGTATTAACGAGGAGATATTTTAGAGATCTCAGAATCTCTAAATATCCCTTATTCTTAGGAAACCTTAATTAGGAGGATTCCTTCCTTATTTGTTCTATTTATCTGGCTATATATTCTGTAACACTCTCCTTGTATTTTACAGTACGAATAAACCAAATTTAGATTGCTTTCTCTAGTTCTTTCTACATGGTATCAGAGCGGGTTATTCTATAACATGATTAAGTTCGGATCCTATGGGATGACCATCGAGAGAGATGGATCTGTCTCAGTGACCTCTGAACATTCAGAGGCTGTCCCAACTGGAGATGACAGCAACCAGAATGTCAATAGGAGCATAGCTAACCCCCTTCTAAGCATAGGTGTTGAGATTCCCTTAGAATCTTTCATACCAGCTTTATGCTGTAGATCTCTCACATATTTTGAGAAAGATGTTGTTAGAGACTCTACTAATTCGGAAATAGAAGATAGATATTTTGGCAAAGTATATTCTAGAAGAAAGTAGAGTTAGTTATGAGTTAAAGGCATTGTTAGCTAATAACTGTCTTTGGTTGTATTAGTTACTTACTTTCTATAAATAGTAGCTAGTTGGAATGGGTGAGTTGGCTGTTTTAGACTTGTCTTGGGACTTGGGAAGACTGAGACTAATAATCTCTTTCTTTGGGAGCTTCGGCTTTTGGGGGCTTCGGCCAGTATATTGTTTTACCGTTAATAAAGATTCGATACTATTTCTTTACTTTCTCTTTGATATTTGCTGGGATTTCTGGAGGATTCTATCATTGGTATCAAAGCAAACGATCTTGTTACCTGTAGGCCTGTGCAGGAACGATGGAAGATTGGGGGCTGTTTTGGGAAAAAATGCGCGAAGATACCAGGCGTTTGTGCGAAAGGATACGCAAAATAAGCCCACAAAGAAACAATCGGCACTCGCAGAAAGAGTCGCGAACTAGTTCGCACTCGCAGGAGTTGCAGAAAGAGTCGCGAATTGTTTCGCACTCGCTAAAGGATCCGCGCGGAAAATTGGGGAAACTCGCGGAAACGATGGAGCGCGGAAATATGGAGAAGGAGAAGAGCTTAAAATCGGAGAGAGAAAAACGCCCAAAACTGGAGAAGGAGAAACGCTCAAATCTGGAGAAGGAGAAGAGTTCTAAACCGGAGAAAGAGAAACGCTCAAGCCTGGAGAAAGAGGAGTTCTAAACCTGAGAAAGAGAAACGCTACAGTCGGGATAAGGAGAAGCGTGAGAAGAGCAAACATCACCAACGAGGAAGATCGAGGAAGGTACGTCGCTGCGTGAATTCAAAAAGCAAAGCTCCATATCAGTCACAAGAATTCCCTAGTTCGCAGTCGCGAACTGTTTCTCTCAGTTCGCCCTTGCTAACCGAGCATCTTCTATCGTTATCGCAAGTAGATTCTTGCCTTGCGCCAGACTGGTCTCTTGATTCGCAGATGACATTGCAAGCCATAAATCCTAGTGTGCGAGTGTCAACCTGCCCACATGAATCATCTGTTTCGGAATCTATAACCATAGTCACATCAGGAAAAGGATTAACAGGGACTATAATTTCGGAAATTCATAATGAATTGAAGCAAGCGGCACCAACAGTTTCAGAAAATAGGGAAGCCGACATTCTGCAGGTATGTGATAGTGATGTTTGTGTGGTCAAATCTGCATTGACTTTTGGGTTTGTACAGGAGAGGAACTGGCTTAATGTTTTAAAATCTGTAATGGACTGTGATATATTACACATTGCTTTGGAAGGGTTGAAGTCATTGAACAAGTTTGATAGATTCGGATGTGAGGGTGTTACTTCGATGATAGATAATCAAAATGGGTGGGAAGGAGAATTTTCTGGGAAAATTACAGATAATGAGGGATATGTTTCTGGTATTGGAGTTGTCATGCATCTGATGTTTGTTAAAGATCTCAATCCTGGTCGTTTCCCTGAGGCCATTGTAGGAGTGTAGGCTTAGACTATCGGTTTGATGATTCTGCTGTGGCAAATTCTTATTCTGTGGCTAGAAGCCCATCTTCAATGTCCATTGTACTCGTGAATGGCATTTACCGGGACTTTGTCGGCTCTTATCTTGACTCTTCCATCTTCCAGCATCAACAACAGAAATTGAATGTTCCTGGTTCTTTCAATATGTTGACTATTGGAAGAGAGATTCTTTTTGAAGTTCAGTCAACCACTCGGGTATGGGAATCTGGCGCTGAAAACACGAGTTGCTACTCGTTGGTCATCCAACCGGAACCACTTGTGTGGACAATACTTTCTAAGGATGACTTATTGGATAATTTTACCTATGATGTCTTGAAACGGAACCCAAGGACTCTGTATTATGGTTGGAGTTCATGGTCATATTGTCGGAAAGGAGAGGTTACTTCTTATTACCCAGGTGGTTGGAGGAGTAAGAATACAGACCATGATGATAGATATTGCTATGTGATGGTGGGCAATGATCAAGGTATGTCAAGAGTTTCAATTCTGGAAAAAATGTCACTCATGACATGTTACAGGGTATACATATCAGAAGCTAAAATCCCAAGGAGTGAAGCAACTGAAAACCGAGGACTTGCATTATACTCTGAAGCAAGAGCTACTAGCAGATGGAATATTGAGCAGAAGGTGATGAATAAAGATCAGTACCAGCAGGAACAGAACAACCTGAATAGTATGGATGCTTTGAAGGGAGAGGATCTAGTGCTGTTTTTACTAGAAGTGAGGATGAAGATTCAAGAATGGAAACTCCTTGACCAACCTACAATCATGTATTGGGAAGGAAGAGGAGCAAGGAGGAAGAAGAAGAAGAAGCAGAAGATTGTGGCTGTTTCCTATCACCCACCTTGAGGGCAAGGTGGATGTTTAGGGGGGGAGTAATGTTAGAGACTCTACTAATTCGGAAATAGAAGATAGATATTTTGGCAAAGTATATTCTAGAAGAAAGTAGAGTTAGTTATGAGTTAAAGGCATTGTTAGCTAATAACTGTCTTCGGTTGTATTAGTTACTTACTTTCTATAAATAGTAGCTAGCTGGAATGGGTGAGTAGGCTGTTTTAGACTTGTCTTGGGACTTGGGAAGACTGAGACTAATAATCTCTTTCTTTGGGAGCTTCGGCTTTTGGGGGCTTCGGCCGGTATATTGTTTTACCGTTAATAAAGATTCGATACTATTTCCTTACTTTCTCTTTGATATTTGCTGGGATTTCTGGAGGATTCTATCAGATGTAAACTGATGTAAACTGCCATCAGGGAGTTTTTGAGTTTCAATTCCCAGAAAGTTATTAAGGTCACACAAATGTTAAGAGAGAAGTTAGAGTCCAGTTTATAAATGAGTTGTTGAACAACAGTGTCGTTGTTACCAATAACAAGAATATCATCAACATAGATCTGAATTGTAGTAGAGAGGTAAACAAGTAATAGAGATCACATTTAGATTGCTTAAACCCAAAGGAATATAGTGCTGCAGTAAGTTTAAGAAACCAAGCTCTGGGAACTTGTTTTAATCCATATAGAGCTTTATTGAGTTTACAAACAAGAAAATTTTCAGAAGCTTGAAACCTTTGAGGTTGAACCACATACATCTCTTCTTTAATATCACCATTTAGAAAAGCTCTATGAACATCAAGTTGCTTAATATGCCAGTAGTTAGAAACAGCAAGAGAGTAAAACTGTAATAGTAACAGGTTTAACAACTGGGGAAAAGGTTTCACTGAAATAAAAATCATGTTGTTGATAAAACCTTTTGCAACTAAACAAGATTTGAATTTATTGATAGAGCCATCAAGATTTTCTTTTAGTCGAAATACTCATTTGCATCCAATAGCATGTTTGTCAGGGGTAGAAAAGTGATAGGGTCATCCGCAAATAGTCTCTTTTTGCTTTAGTAAAGAGGTGAGGCTGCATACATTCAACCCCCTTGGCCCCACCACAAGTGTGATCCTTTGCCGCATTGGGCTAATGTTGTTGTTGTTGTTGTTCAGTTGCTCACACAGTTCACAGCAATTACTACAAGACTTCGAGAGTGAAGTCATTGTAGAGCTGATAAGGAAAAGCTGCATTGATATTCTAAGAAAATATAAAGATCACCAACCATCACATCATAAAAAATGTGATTGCTTGATTATTGGTTTCTTAATGGTGCAATTTGGATTTACAACAGGTTAAGAAAATGATGATTCATGCAGTGAGAGATGCTGTTGAAGTGCTGAAAAATGTAAGTGCCTAAGTTTGATCCTTTTATCTTCATATACTTTTCCCCCATCAATACAAGCACTCACATGTAGTATTCAGTATGCCCAACTTCTAAGCATCACTTATTGTCAATGTAATTTTGTTATCTGCTAGATCATCTCTTCTTAGTGTTTGGGTTTTCATTCTCATAGGAGTGGCTTAGCTAGAATTTAAGATGTGGTTGTACCTTGTGATTTAAGGATCCCAATCCATATAGGGGTCAATCCGGTGCCCAATTTACATTTAGTAATGAGTTATATAAATGCTTGTCACGGCGTCGCCTAGTCGCCGACTAGGCGTCCTAGCGCTAGGGGATGATCACCTGCTTCACTCGTCTCGCCAGAAGAAGAGAAGTCATGCTAGGCGTCGTCCAGTCGTCTTGGCGCGATGTTGGCAACAAAGTGCTTGCCTTATTCGCAAGTCGAACCACAGTTGCGCAGGCCCAGAACCCAGATAAAGTAGATTTAGGCCTTAATTTTTTTAGGAAACTAATTTAATGAATTCATCAGCCTTTAAAATAAAAGCTAAGCCCAGACTAATATACCTTACTGACGTTGCCCAAGGTGTATAGCCAAGCCGCATCACAGGAAGCAGGCAAAGAAGACGAACTCACAGAGTCGCAGGTGTCGTCATCCCTCAGTCCCTCACGGAAGCGGAGTAGCAAATGAAGAAGACGAAGTTGCTGACATCCCAGTTCCCAGGTCCTTGATCTCTTCTTGGCTTCATTTTTTTTATTTTAAATTTTAATTAATTAAGTTGTGTATTTATAATTTTGTTGTTTAACCTTGTTTTTGTTGTTGTTTTAATCTGTGATACTTTTATTTTAAAATAACCTTGTATGATATACTTCACCTTTTGTTTTAAATAGTTTTTTAATCTTAATTCTCATTAATAAACCTTGTTTTCAATTATTAATTGTGAGTTGCAATTTAAATTTTAATTAATGAAGTTGCGCATTTATAGTTTTTTGTTTAACCTTGTTTTGTTGTTGTTGTTGTTTTATTCTGTGATACTTCTATTTTAAAATAACCTTCTATGATATACTTCACTTTTTGTTTTGATTAGTTTTTTAATTTTAATTCTCATTAATAAATCTTGTTTTCAATTTTTAATTGTGAGTTTCATTTCTAAGTTATATACAATTTGGTTAGTAATGTATTATACTTGATAAACAATTATATTTCGGAGTATATCATTATATCTATAAATATATAGTTATATACTCCCTCCGTCCCGAAAAGGTTGACCAAAGTTGATTTTCACGTTGATTAATAAAGTAAATACTGTGGTTGAAATTTATGCTGAGGAGAGAGAATTAACTTTAGCCATATATTTCTTAGTTTAAATGGAAAATCTTTTTGGGACATCCAAAAAAGGAAATTTGGCCAACCTTTTCGGGACGGAGGGACTATAAATTAATACTAGTATAATATATTATACATATATAGGCTACTAGTCGCCTAATTGTAGCCTAGACGAGTGCCTTATCGCCTAGGCGATATGGCGGTCGGCTGGTGCCGCAACTTGACTTACCGCCGTGACAAGTATGTTTATTATATATTGTGCCGTTTTTTTGCAGCCTTGCCAGGGAAGGTGGTGAATAAATTAGGAAGCAAGAGGTTGAGTCTAAGCGAGCTATCTTTTATCCTGGAGATATATTGTGTGCATATATATCTGAAATCAGCTCCAGTTAGCTCCTAATACTTTTGGATGTTGGGTGGGGGGGGGGGGGGGGGGAGGGGGGGGGGGAGGGGGGATGCTATGTGCTTTCTTCTTCATGCACTTTTTTTTTTGTCTTTTGTGTAACTTCTTGTAATGCTTACCACTCATGATTTACTCTTATTGGAGTGTGTTGCCTCTATGTTTCTCTGGTTTCAAAATATCTCTATTCTACATTTGATGCCTACTCCACCGTCCACTCCATTAGTCCAGTCTCGGGTTGGATTTCATTCTAGACTACTTGGTCGCAAGTTATTTAACGGAACCCATGATCGTAGTTGAGCCAGTTTCGGTCTGGTTCAGGAATGGCAAATAACGGAACCCATGATTTATCTAAACGGTACTTTTTCCTTTAAAGTCCTTTTTCGCCTTGTTATTTAACCAGATGGTCGATTATGCTTCCATTGCTGCAGCCTACAGCCCTGCATGGCTGCATTGCGTCATGTAGACAATTCTGGAGTGAATTCTTAATTTACGGAAAAGACCATTCCGTGCAATCTGAAAACATGGGATTCTATTTGGAAAAAAGCTGTTTGTACATTTTGTGTACACCCCTCCTAGTTGCCTGTGCACCTAAGTGTGCGTACACAAAAGGTGTACAAATAAATGAATAATAAGTACAAGTAGCAAGCTCCATTTATTTGGGTTTTCTTAATTTGTGTCATTCAGACGACTGAAGTAGGGTTTGGAAGATAATTTATGGAAATATGCTTATTGGGAATTGTGTCTTCCAAATGCTTTATAAGGAATTTTTTCCGGCCAAGTACCTTGTGGTCTGATGACATCATTGTGACACTCCTAAGGAGGAAATCACAGGTTCGAATTAGGCCCACGACTTGGAATCGTAAAACCGAGAAAACCGATCCAAACCGAACCGAATTTTCCGGTTTGGTTCGGTTCCTATAATTTTGGACTTCATCTTTTTTCGGTTCGGTTTCTATAGTATATGATCGGTTCCAGTTCGGTTCCGGTTCCTAGATAGGAATCGAACTTCCTATACATTGCATGAGTAATCTTCATTTGAGGTGCTTCTAGGTGGAATTTTTTAATGAAATTTTGTGAGCTTGTTTTCAATGAAGTTTATATTATGTGCACTAAATTTGAGCTTAAAATTCAATTGGGAAGTTAGTTAAATAAATTATTGAAAATCACTATGTCAAAATACATATAAAAAACACAATATTTTTCAACATTTTATTTAACTCACTCCCCGATTGCATTTTAAGCTGAAATTTGGTGGATGTAAATCATGTAATCATTACTACATGTAGAACATGCTCACAAAATGTCCTCAAAAAAATCTACCCGGAAGCAAATTCTTGTCAGGAATATTTGTCTTGCATAATATACTTTATATATTGTGAACCACGCCAACTCGAGTAGTTGTTATTTTACTACTTTAGTTGATTTTTATATTTATTATTTGTTTGTGATTGTATTTGTTTTTTGAGTTCACAATAAGAAAATATTATTCCGCTAATTATGTTGTTACTTGTTCATAATAAATTACAAATATTACTGGTCAGTTTATTATTACAGACTTTTTACTTATGGTACATTTCTAGTAGAAGAATATTATTTTGAGGTTGAACCACCTACTATTAGATGTGTACCTTGAAGTTATTAAACCTTTTTGCTTGATAGTTGATGCCTCTTTTAAACATCTATGTTGTTGTTATGTTTAAACTTAATGTTTGCACTTGGATATTTTTGTGATATTTGAAAATTGGAATACCATGTATGTATAATGTAATAGTCATAATTTCATCATTTAAAATTTGAATTTTTTTATGTAACTGAAGGTAAAATGTATTCATTTTAAGAGGATAATAATTTTTTATTAGGAACCGAAAAAATGTAAGAGCATAATTGAATTTAACTAGAACCGAACTGAATTTAGCAATTACATTTTTAAGTAGAACCGAATTGAATTTAGCGCTTATAATTTTTAATACGGTTCCATCGAATTTTAACAAGAATCGAACCGATCCTAGGCCTAGTTCGAATCTCATCCCATTTCAAGGATGTTGGCATTAACATTGAGCATATAATATATAGGTTAGAAAGAGTTGTCCAAAAAAAGGAATTTTTTTCGAAGTTTTTTCACAATTTAATGCTAAATATATGCTTGGACTCGGGCCGGGTTGGGCTTGGGTCGGGCCGCCGGTTCCGTATCCATAGGCCCAAGATTGGCCCCGGTCTTGACCGGTTCCGGTCGGGCCGGTTCCGGTTCATTTTTTTAATCTTATTTATTTCACCCCCCACCCTCATCCCCCAACCCCCCAAACCCCTCGGAAATACCCAGCCCAGCCCAACTAAAGCCAGCCCAAACCAAATAAATAAATAAATAAATAAATAAAGGCCCGAACCAGGCGCGGCCTGGCCGGGTCGGTTCCCCTTTTCCCTTACCCGTGCTCGGAACCGGTAGACCCCCCGGGCCTAGGCCCGAACCGGAACCGGACCCAGTTTCCCGGGCCGGGCCGGTCCTGCACAGTAGCGGGCCGGGCCGGTTCCCGGGTCAGGTGGCCCGCATCGAGTCCAAGTCTAGCTAAATAAAAAAGTATATCCCAGTTGAGGTAGGGTTAAAAATATTTCCCAACCAATTCCTACAATTAGGAGTGGACTCGGGCCGGGCCAACCGGCCCGGAACCGGACCGCCCCGCTACTGTGCGGGCCCGGACCGGCCCGGTGAACCGGTTGGTGTCCGGTTTGGGCCACCCGGCCCGGTGAGGTAGGCGTGCCGGGCTCGGGCCTCCTAAATCGTGAACTGGCCCGGCCGGTTCGGGCCCGGTCCGGGCCTAATAATTATTTGTTTCTATTTTTTTGAATTTTTTTTAAATTTTTGGGTTGGGCTGGGTATGATGGGCCATTTGAGGTGGTTTGGGGTGGTTTGGGGGTGAGGTGAGATTTAATTTAAGAATAAAAGTGACTTGGCCTTGCTACATTCCACTTGTTAATATATTTTAGTCGATCATTGTTATATCTATAACTTATCCCCTCTCGAATACTCAATCGAGAAGTATATCCAATTCATTGAGGGTAGTTATTAACGTCCGTTCATTAATAACCCTTACTCATAGTCAAGTATAGAACACCGCCATATACCGACTTGATAGTAGCATTTAATCTCTTAACTCATTGATGAAATCAATTGAGATTGATAACCTCAACACAACGGTTTCTGTTTAATCAATAAATTTAACCCCTCTTAAGTTTATTAACCACGACCGTGCATTAATAAACCAAAGTTACTTACTTGTAAAACCATCAACGATTAACTATCAGTTCGTTGATCGTTTCTAGTAATAATTAATGTCGGAACGTTAACTAATCGTCACTAAGCAACCCTCTAACATTAATATAGATTGAGATTAAGGGAAGAATTAATAATCAAGAGAAGAAGTTAAGAAAATAACTCACAACTTTAATAATCAACAAGCTTCAAGAGCAAAACCAAGAAATGGAAGTTTAGTTCCTCATTTGGAGACTAAACATGCTATAAAAATATAAGAAATAACTATTCTAAACTGAGCTTAAGTATATGGAAGAAGGGATGGAAAACAGTGAAGGAAAAGTGTGCTATTTATAGGTATTTTTCAACATCTTGGGCCGGGTACCCGACCGGGTCAAGTGCCCACCCGACCGGGTGCATGTCAAGATCAAATAATCTTCCATGTTCTTGTGTTTCAGCACGTTAAAATGTCCCAGATCAAATCCGACCCGACCGGGTGAATTAGTTGACCCGACCGGCAGGGCCGACCATAGGGAGAGTTACCCTAGACAAGTGTCTATGGCCTCCAAAGTTTAGGGGGCTCTAATTTATAAAATAAGCTTATTAATATTATTTAGGAGACTTTGTCCGGTCGTCAACATTTGGGATTGTTTCCTTTGTAATTTTTTGATGATTTTTTTAGAATCTTATTAATTATGTCTAGTTTACTCATACCAAATTTCACCTAAAAATTCAATCGGGAAGACATTCAAATGAATTTTTGAAGATAACTGCGCAATTAAAAGCGCAGTTATCTTCAAGAATTTATTTGAATGCCTTCCATGTTGAATTGTTAGCTGCAGTTTGGTATAAGTAAACAAGACTTAACGAATAAGATTCTCCAAACATTTCATCAAAAAATTCCACCGGGAACTGCCCCAAATGGCGACGGCGGGACAAAGTCTCTTATACAAGGGCTTATTTGACCTTTTTGGTTAGTATGTGGGCTTATTTGTTCCTTTTTCCTTTTTTTTTCTTTGTTGGCTAGGGCAGTAGGGTTAGGGATTTAGGATAATGAGTATTCTAAATATATTTGAATGCTTATTGAATAATTGAAATTGTAATTTGTTATTTTGATTCATCGAAATATTGAACATACTTATAATTTTTTATATTTGATTAAATTTAGTGAATTAAATTTATATCTATGAACCATTAACTTATATTTAGTGATAGTATTATTTTGAATGAAATTTTATGTTTTGTGATGATGAGAAAACAAAATATGAATCAAGATGTACAAAGACAAAGAAAAAAATTAAGAAATGATTTGGTCATGAAATCACTTTCTGATTTCGAAGAATATTCTCACTGTGTTAATAGTATATGATGTATTTTATATGTAATTTACTTATATTTAATTGCTATTTTTTATATCATTGGGTTAAATAAAACATATTTAAAACAAAATTTCTACATGACCGTCTAGGGCCTCATAATTGCTCTAGCCGGCCCTGCCGACCGGGTCCAGTTCTTTCCTCAGAGGTTCGGTTTTCAAATGAAACCTGATCGGATTCAAGGTCTGACCCGGTCGGGTTTTGTGCTCCTGGGTATTTTTGTCTTCAGCTTTTTCTCCTTTTCCTTGCTAAAAACTCTACCACTATTCTACAACTATAAATGGAAGCTAAAAAAAATTACAAACAAAATAAAACAAATGCTTACAAACTAACTAATAACGATAGAAAATCCACACAAAATAAATATAAAAACATACATTT